CCCCACTATAGTGGGGGGGTTAAGGTAGAAGAAAGTACATTTTACATCAAAGTTCAAGCTTCCAAAGTTGGCGTCACTGTGATTTGGAACCGTGAAGATTCAGTCACGGTAAACGCTTTTCTGTTTTCACTCAGACTTTATCCAAATAATTTGATCTTTTTGACTGATTGGTTATATAAAGTAGATGGTTAGAGATCAGGATTAAAAGAAACGGATTTGCTGTTTGTGTGAATACAATAACTTATCTCTGCAGAGATTTAAAAATATCAGCAGTTAAATATTGTTTCAACTTTCTGGAATAATTACCATAAAATGATGGTTGGTTACCTAACACTGAGTTTAAACTGTTTTCTTTCTGGTATAAATCAATAAAACACGTTGCATGATGATCCCTGCTTTGTGTTTCAGGTGGAAATTTCCAACAACTACTTTAACCGTACTTGTGGTCTTTGTGGAGACTTCAATGGTGTTCCGGTCTATGATGAGTTCATGGAAAATGGTTTGTATTTTACTTTGGTGATAGCAGTGCATTAGAGATGAAAAATATGCCTTAAATGTTCTTTTTTGTTCTTCTTCATCACCATGACCAGGTTTGAAAATCAGCTCAGTTGAATTAGGAAATAAATACAAAGTCCATCTACCAAATGAGGAATGTAAAAACCTCCCTGTTGAAGACAATGAGTCAGAGGAGGCAAAGAATAGGACTGAGTCATGCAAAAAATTTGTAAGTTTAATACTGACTTAGTGTTAACTAAAGTTTTTTAAAATGTATTCAATAATGATGTGCTAACTTTTGCAGTAAATTCAAATGATATTTACCCTTTGCAGGAAACCTTTTGTAGGGAAAGGTTTACCTCAGATTCCTGGAGTTCATGCACCCACCTGATTAGCCTTGAAGGTTTTATCCAGGCCTGTGTGATTGACATGTGCACCTGTAACAACCCCAGCAATGAATCATGTCTCTGCAGCACAATGTCTGAGTTTTCTCGTCAGTGTTCCCATGCAGGAGGACAGCCTCCAAACTGGAGGAGACCAGATTTTTGTGGTAAGCTTCATGTTTGTTATTTGATTTTTTTTAATGCTACAAAAATAAAAACGACTGGCTTAATAACTCACTGAATATATAGTATAGTGAGATAAAACTACAACGTTGTTTATTGAAACATGAGATGAGACTGTTATTTTAAACTTTGACAGTTTAGATGAACAGAGGCGTGGCTCAGAACAAAGGTGAAACTAAGCCGTTTACTGAGAGGTGCTCATTAAAAGACTTTGTTTAGCCATAAGAATGAGGGTCTCATTGAACAAATGCTTTCCTATTATACAATACTTTTATTTTTAGTTTTTACGGCATTAGTGGCCCGTTTTATAGACAGTAGGCTGACAGGAAATGCGCACCCGTAGAACACTTTTAAAGAATGTGCAAAGTGATTTGCTTTTGCAGTTTAGTGGGTAGCATATGCAAACCTTTTTTAGATATGTATATGAATATGCAGATCATAATCTAATCAACGTTCATGGAAGGAAGGTATGCAAATATAAACAGACAAAGACAACCTTCCCATGTTTTAATTTCTAACTTAAGTGATTTTCATTTTTTTACGTTTGTTTATTGCACTCAGAGATTAATTATATAACGTGCTCTATAAATTTGATTGGGTAAACTTACTATTAATAACTACTACTACTTAACTTACTATGGTTAAACTTACTATTATTAAAATAATTAAACTAATCAACTAATTAACTTCAACTAATCTTCTATAGCCTAACCTTTCTCTTTTGTAACCACTCTGTAGAACCAATATGCTCATTTCAAGGAGAAGAACCAAAATGGCTTATATTTCTTAACGTTTGCGAAACAATCTCTGTAGATCAACCAAAACACTCCAACTTAGTGGACAAAGCAAAAAAAAAAAAAAAAAAAAAAAGATTTAAAGATCACTTCTTTACTATTAAGAATCACTTAAAATGTGCATATTTTAGACAGAGAAGATAGATGGTTGGAAACAGAAGTGAGTGAAGGCATTTCCTTTTAACATTAAAAAACAACTCTTGACAAGTTGGTCACTTTCTAAAAACAAAGCAGGAAGCCTGACACCCAGTCAGTTCCAATCTAATTAAAAAAAATTTCCTTATTGATAAGGGGAGTCCATTCTGCAGGTAAATTTAAATTAGCAGCAAAATTAGACTTCCCAAACTGTTTAAAGACCTGGAACTCATCTCTCACTGGCTCTGAATTGATAAAACTCTTAAGATTCTATTCAGTTTATTCCTATAAAAACACATTTTATTCAAAGTTTTCTATCTAAGGAAAACCAGCTGATTGCATCGACTCATTGACTCCTCAGCAATCCCTCACAGAAAGCATCCTTGTAGCGACAGCGGAGAGGAAAAGCTCAATTTTAACTTCCTCCTTTAAGACGAAATAAAGTTTTACACTAGAAAAGTTAAGTCTGGTTGTTTAGGTTTTGTATTTATTTATTTTTTTTTTTGCAAGGATTTTTAGTCCTAACCTTTTTTATGTTGATTATATGTAAACAGACAGATAATATGTTGCCATGAGAGCCATCAAATGTTATTTAACATACTACACAATATTCTACTTTCACGTATTGTAGTGAGAAAAAAAGTGTTCAACTATATTCCCTAGTTAAATATACGTAGATTGGTGGATTTCACTCATTCGGACCTTAATTTTCATATCTTTGCAAAGGGAGAACAGTTCATCATACGGCCCTTACAGCACAGTAATCAGCCATGTTCTGACTAGGCAGAGTTTTTCTCCCTTACTTACGGTGAAGGAAAAAACTGTGAAGGTTGTCAGAGTCAAAACAAATTACACATACTTTAACAAACTTTGAGAAACTATTTGGCTTGTCATGGGAATAAGTATGTTTTGTCTAAAAGCACCCCTCACTCAGACATTGTCTCAGCCTTGCAAGTGAAACAAACTGAGTAAAAATATTTTTTCACTGGATAAATTGCATAACTAAATATATAAAACATGAGAAATCTAAAAGTATATAAATTTCTACTTCCCTTTGCTTTCCAGGTAAACATTGTCCCCACAACATGATATATGAAGAAAGTGTTTTTCCTTGCATGGATACATGCACACAGGCACACACAAGATCAGTGTGTGAGGAGCACAAAATCGATGGCTGCTTCTGCCCTCCTGGTTAGTTCTCCTCACATAGGAAATGTGTATTTGGTCGTTATTAATTCCCCAACTCACCAAATTAACCTTTATGTTTGTCCTCAGGAACGGTGTTTGATGATATATCTGACAAAGGCTGCATCCCTCAGTCTGAATGTCAGTGCAAACACGACAAAATCTACAGCAGTGGAGAGGTTTATCAAAATGACAACACTAACT